GGAGCGAGGTTGAGGAGATGATTCTAACCTAGGACTAGGTCTCTAATGGGCCCGATGGGATTCGGCGATGTGTCCTTTGCATCAGTTGCACGTGACGGAAAGGAGACCGCGTGGAGGCGGGGGTGGGGGTGGGGGTGGGTGGCCTGGAGTCCTCTCTGGGGTCATCGTGGGCAGCCTGCCTTTTTATTTTCTTCTGCTGAGATCCGTATTCCCTTGAGCAGCTCCCCCTTAAATCATTTAGAGCTTGAATCAAAGTCAAACGCTGAGTAAAGGCGATGTGCATCAGCCTTAACTTTTTCCACATCAATACAGTTTAACTCAATGAAAACCCATTTTCTGGTGTTGGCGTCTCCCTTGAATGCAGCTGCCAAGTGCTCTCTCTGCTGAGCAAATCAGAAAGTCGTTTCTTGTCGCAGGAGAATGTCTACAAGTAATTTTTGATCATTAAAGCCGTATTTATAAAAATTCTGCAGGAGAAATGTATTTGTCGTTGTTGTTCTAACGGAAATGCCTGCTGTAAAAATTGGGAACTGCAGGGGCCCCAGCTTTCCATTTCTGGCATGTTTTCCAGTTTATTTGGTTAAGTATGTTTCATTCATTTGATATCCTGGAGAGACTTTGGATAACATTCGCAAACTTAGATATTGCTTGCAAAGAAGGCAGGAAGGAGGACTCGCCTGGGTCTGGGTGGAGGTGATGGCTCAGGTGGGAGGGGCTGTAGCCCAGAACCCCTGCTTGGTGGTGAAACCCGTCTTCCTGGGGTGCAGAGAGCCGCTCGCAATCTGCAGCGGTTTCTGTGTCCCCATCTTGTGGAACTACTCAGTAAATTGTGGGGCTGAAGCCAAAGGTGTATTTATTGTAGTCCTAAAAATAGCTGGGTCAGTTTCAACTCAGGTTTCCTTGCAGAATTTGTCTTGGGTGTGAGGTTTTTGCCCTGGAAGTTTCCAGTTTCCTCTTGGTGATATATGGTTCCCCGGGATACTGGCTTAATTTTTTTTTTTTTTTTTTAAGAAAAGGAAGCTTAAAGAGGGGAGTTTTTTCTAGTTTGTCTAGAATTTGATCCTAACCTATTAAGAAAAAAATCAATTTCCTGAAAGGCGTAACACGTACATCGTCAATTCCACTGTGCACCCCCAGTTTGGGTAAAATATTGTTTAGATAATTTATTTGGAGAAACAGATATGACAGATTTGAGTAGAATTCAGTCAGCAGATAAATAGGGTGGTGGTTGATCCAAAATTTGTGAAATGTTCCATAAAAACAAAACTAGAAGCAGGCAGAAGCAAGGAATAATTCCCGCTAATCCAATCGTGTCAAAACATGGGTTTGGGCTAAAGCAGATTCTGTCTTCCGTTTTGACTGTCACAGACTGTCGCATTTAAGAATTATTAAGACAAGTCAGAAGTAATTATTTTCTTGCTCATTCAACAAAGAGTCACTCAGCATTTGCTATCATCCCGGCAAGAGCAGACACAGCATGGAGAGTGCTAGCAGTGCTGTTGTCTAAAGTCTTTTTTTTTTCTTTTAATGTTTGTTTATTTTTGAGAGAGAGAGAGAGAGGGACAGAGCAAAAGCTGGGGAGGGGCAGAGAGACAGGGAGACACAGAATCAGAAGCAGGCTCCAGGCTCTGAGCCATCAGCACAGAGCCCGACGCGGGGCTCGAACCCACAGACCGTGAGATCATGATCTGAGCCGAAGTCGGACGCTCAACCGACTGAGCCACCCAGGCACCCCAAGTGCTGTCTCAAAGGAGCTTTCAGAGATGTTCTTGTATCTGCAAGTGCCTTGTATCTGCGTTTTCAATAGTTTCACCATTAGCCATTTGTAGAGAGTGAGCACCTGAAATGTGGCTAGTGGGATTTTTGATTTTATTTCAGTTTAGGTAACTGAAATTTAAATAGCCACCTGTGGCTAGGGGTCATGTACCTGGACAGTACAGGTCCATAGGAATGTCAGGGATAGACTCGAAACACATTTCAAGCAAAAGAGTCATGTACTGCCTTGAATTAATCCTGGAACATGCATAGTTTTCTTGTACCCCCATGTACGCTTTCTTACATTCGAGAACGTTTATAACACATACAGGAAGGCGTTTAAAATACGGGCATCCGGGAGGACGTTCAGACTAAATACTTCATTTAATGCCGTGTTCTTTCTACGCAAGTGACAATGCGCGGGACACATGTTAACTCACTGATGTCTAAAACATCTCTGAGAAAGGATAAATGTTTTCATGCTCCTCCTGGTGACTCAAAAAGCCGAGACACTGGGTCAGGGGTGATGGTGTTACTTTGCAGTGAATGGGAGTCAAGGATTGAGATGAAGCCAGGACCCTTTGGTCGGCCGTCTTTGGCAGCTGAAACGAGGTAACATTACTTGTGCCTTACAGGGTAGTTTTTCTGCAAATACCGTGTCATGACTACAGTCAGGGTTGGCTGTGGAAAGAGTAACGACCACCATGCACCCCAGACACGCTTCCTGATCCCACGGTGAGATCAAGATATGGAATAATACGTTGCGCCCTCTTTAATATTAAAAACATTAAAAAAATTTTTTTTTAACGTTTATTTATTTTTGAGACAGAGAGAGACAGAGCATGAACGGGGGAGGGACAGAGAGAGAGGGAGACACAGAATCGGAAACAGGCTCCAGGCTCCGAGCTGTCAGCACAGAGCCCGACGCGGGGCTCGAACTCACAGACCGCGAGATCATGACCTGAGCCGAAGTCGGACGCTTAACCGACTGAGCCATCCAGGCGCCCCTGAACAATCTTTAATATTTAACGTGATGACTTGTCCCCCACCGGGTCCCCTCACGTTTGTAAGGCTGAGACGTGACTTACAGGCTAGCCATGTTATGTGACGCTGATTCCGTGTACGTAATGGATACGTATTGTGTATACCTGACACAGTGTTTCCGTGCCAGAGCTCAAGTAAGAATAAGCACAGATAGGCTGCTTGCCGCAGCTCTCAACCTCAACCTTTTCTGGTTTGCCCAGGAATTGCCTGGGCGCACAGTGCAAATATTGACCCCTGGTCCCCCCAGAGCCTGACGCAGGAAACCCCCAGGCTGTCTTCAGCCTCGTTGCTTAGTACGCTTCCTACCAAGGGCAGCCTGTCCTCACTTTACAGATGTGGAAAAGCAATCCCAAGTTGCTTAAGTCTTGCAGCCGGGGAACCTCTACCTGCCCTTTCCCACCTGTGCCTGGTGGGGGCGGGCAGGCCAGTGTGGGAGGAATTCAGAGGCCTGCACTCAGGAGGCCCTCCAGGGCTGACAGAGACAGCGGCAGCTGGGACCCGCCCCAGGGCCCTTAAAAACCTGCACAAACTCGAACTCCTCACCTTGGACTCTTGGGGCTGGGAAGGTTAAGGTTACAGGTGGTGAGCAGTGGACGGTTAACCTACCCCTTTATGGTGTTTTGGAGACCAGCCCACCGCCCCTTGCGGGACCCCCCCCCCCATTGCATCAGGCTTTTATTTTAAAGAGTGTCATTTCTTAATTTTGCAAGCAAATCGGTCCCCGATGCCGGTGAGAAACGGTGCAGCGATGAACGTCTTTGTCTTTGCACGTGCAAGGTGCTCGCACATCTGGAACAGCCTGCCTCGATTTTGTACTTAAGAGCTCGTTTTTGCTCGAGATCGCCAAGCTGTCCCCGAGGGGTGTGCTGATTTACATGCCTGCCCCAGACACACGGGGCTGACTCTGTCCCCGCGTTCTCCGCAGACCTAGGAGTTGTAAGTCCATCCAGGGCATTTCTGGACACTTAGCTGGTTTCAGTGCTGTTCTAACAGAAATCAATCATGTCTGTTACACGCCCCACATCTGCTTTTTTTCAAGACCTTTGCCTGGTGCGGAATTGTTCGAGTGTAAAATGGTTTTATGAGTGAGCTTTGCCAGTGTGAAATGCATCATTTTACAAATTCAAAGGTAGCTTGCACTTAACAAAGTTCTGAAATCTAGGGTGACGCCCTTACTTACAAACCGATAATTAGTTTGGGGATTCAAAGCGGTAAACGAATGCACATTTATGAGTTTGCTAATTGTTCTTTCTGGCTGCTGGAGGTGATCTTGGACGTCCTTCATAAATCCTTTGAGCCCCACCAATAAACCCACGGGCTTCGGGAATGGGGGTTCTGAGACCCTGCTTACAAATCCCCCTCAGAATCAAGTGTTCGTTCTGTTCCACCCCCGTCATTAGCTGGGTTCCTTTTTGTCTAAAAGAACCCACACAAAGAAATGTCCTTTCGGTCACACAAAGCAAAAGAGATTTGCGTTGCCTTTTTAAATCCTGCTGCGTTTTGATGAGAGAATATGAAATTAAGTCCAAAGGACGCCTCTTTTTTTTTTTTTAAACCCCTTTCTTTGCTTCCTGTTGGCAAAAATCTCAGTGATAACGAGAGGAATTGCATTTGGAGTCAGGGAATGTTCGAACCCGAAGGTGGGGTGGGGTGGGGGGAGGTGCCTGGGTGGCTCAGTCGTTTGAGCCTCCGACTCAGGTCATGATCCCAGGGTTGGGGGATCGAGCTCCCCATCGGGCTCCGTGCTGAGTGTGGAGACTGCTTGAGGTTCTTTCTCTCTCTCTGTCTCTCTCCCTCAAAAAAGAAAAACAAAACACAAAAACCAGAAGGGACTGTGGAAATGCCACTTTGCAGGTGAGCACAGGGTGGCCCGGGGTCTCTGTCCGAGCCTGGGCTCCTGCTCGTGTGGGACAGCATCTTGCCGGTCACCCGGCCGCACGGGCATCTCTGAGCTCCGCTCCTCCACCGCCATCGGCCTTCGTGACTGTCAACCCAGCAGGGAGAGTGGGACGTGCCCCAGGGTTGCCAAATTCAGAAGGTTCAGCAGATACACTCTGAGAAATCCCTCCGGTCCCCAGCAGCCTGGTTCTCCATTCTAGAAGCAACACACATTCCCGCTTCCTAGGTTTTCTTCTGGGGGCATTTGGTCCCCTCCAGCAAGGGTGCCGGCCGGGAACCTTTCTTCCCCTCGTGCCCTCCACTGGTTTTCCCTTGATCGCGCACACGGCCGTGCACCTCACGGTGTTCGGGATGCTGCTGTCTTCTCTTAGCAGTGTGGCCTGAAGGTTATGGCCCCTCAAGTGGGGCGACCTGCCGTGTTCCTTCGGATTCCTCCAGGATTTTCCGTAGCTGGATGTATCGTGGCTTATTTAACTGGACCCTGACCGCTAGGTGGTGAGTTGTCCCGATGTTTAGCTCTTGGCATTAATTAAAAAACCAAGTTCCTCCGCACAGTGGACTTGGAGAGGCACAGGCCCGCCGCGAAGGCGTCCAGGAGGCCGTGTGAACACTGGTTGAGACGCTGTTAATCGAACCCACGAGGCACAGGTTGGTCCTCGGCCGCGGCTCCTTCGGCCCCGCACGTCCTGGCTGGGTTCCGTGAACACGCAGGAATAACTCCCTGTGCCGACAGTGGTGGCCGCTGGCTTTCGGAGGTATTTGGATGGTAGTTTCCTCTTTGGGGCTGAAACCCGATCCTTCGTTCTGGCTATAGAAGCGAGAGGGGTGCTCTCCGTGTCACCGGTTCACGTCTCTTTGGGTTCGACGGGCTGCCTCCTGTGGTCACTGCTTGTCCGAGGCTCCCGTCCTGGTGTGAATACTGCCGCCGGGAGCCTACGTGCCCCAGAATGACACGGCGGTGTCCCCACAACTTCAGTAGGTGGATTGGGACATACCGCGTAGCGAGATGCCAGCCGATGGGAATTTGCAAGGTGACTTTTGGGTTGAAACGACTCACACAGCAAATACTTGCCAAGCGACGGCCCTTTGCCAGGCCGGTGCCGGGGAGGCCGCCGCAGGAAGGCAGAGCGATGGCCACTGGGTGGGAGCCAGGAAGCAGGGCCAGCAGTGGCCCGAGCCATCCAGGGAAGCGTGAGGACATGAAGCACAGATAAGGGCATCAGGTGCACCTAGGGCGGGGTCGTATTCCTCCAGGGGAACAGAACCAATAGCAGAAATGCCAATTCCTAAAGAGATTTCTTTTTTTTTTCAACATTAACAATTTTTAAAAATTTTATTTTAGAGAGAGAGAGCACAAGCAGGGGAGAGGGGCAGAGAGAGAGGGAGAGAGAATTTTAAGCGGGCTCCATGCTCAGTGCAGAGGCTGATGCGGGGCTCAGTTCCGCAACCCTGGGATCGTGACCTAAGCCGAAGTCGAGAGTCAGATGCTTAACCAACTGAGTCACGCAGGCGCTCCTTGAAAGAGATTTCTTGCCATCGTGGGGGCTATCTGGTCAGGTTGGAAATCGCAGGGCAGGCTGTCAGGGAGGGCGGGCTGGAGCCCTAGGGCTGAAGCCACCGTCCACGGGCAGAATATCTTCCTCCCAAACCTCGGCACTGTTCTCAAAGTCCTTCAGCTGATTGGGTCAGACCCACCCCGATTCTCCAGGACAATCTTCTTTACCTCAAGTCAGCCGATTGTGGATGTTATAGTCACATCCACAAAAATGCCTTCACAGAAACACCTCAATTCGTGTTTGATTGAGCAACTGGGGACAGTCATCTAGTCGAGTAGACCCATAAGATCTCCAAGGTAGTGTTTTATTTATTTATTTTTAATTGTTTAAATGTTTATTTATTTTTGAGAATGAGGGAGACAGAGTGCGAGCGGGGGAGGGCAGAGGGAGAGAGAGAGAGAGAGAGAAAGAGAGACAGAATCTGAAGCAGTCTCCAGACCCTGAGCTGTCAGCACAGAGCCCGATGCGGGGCTCGAACCCACGAACCGTGAGATCATGACCTGAGCTGAAGTCGGACAGTGAGCTGACTGAGCCACCCAGGCGTCCCTCCAAGGTAGTGGATTATCTGGAAAAAAAAAAAAAAAACCCTAACTGTGGAACGATATTGTTTGTGTTTCCTAGGGCTGGAATCACAAATTATTCACAAACTCGGTGACTTAAAACAACAGAAATTAGTCTTCTTACCGTGCTGGAGGCCACAGGTTTGACGTTGAGGTGTCATTAGGGCCACGCCCCTTCCAAAAGTTCTACGAGAGGATCCTTCCAGGCTCTTGCAGCTTCTGCAAGAGGACGCCTGTGGTTCCCGGCGTCCCTTTGGCACAGGGACCGTCCCATCTCTGCCTCTATCCTCACGGCGCCTCCTTCCCTGGGTCCCTTCCTCTCTGTCCTTGTGTCTCAGACCTCCCTCTCCTCACCCTAATAAAGACACCAGTCGCTAGGTTGAGGGCCCACTCTAATTCCAGGGTGACATCCTCTTAACTCAATCACATCTGCAAAGACCCTCTTTCCAAATAAGGTCACGTCCACGGGTCCCCATGGTCAGAGCTCGGACGCGTCTTTCTGGGGGTCACTATTCAACCCTCTGCAAATAATGTATGCTATTACTTCTGCCGTGCAACCAAAAGGAATCTGTGTGTTGGCGGATGTGTACAAATTTTCTGCAAGGATCCCAAGACACAGATAGCAGTGACTGTGTTAGGCCGGCGGTGAAGAGCCCTTTAATGATCAATTTATGGGCCCGTGAGTCTGGTGCAGTGTTTTACCTTGTGCACGTATACGCTTACGGAAAGCGCTATTTTCTGAGTTACCTAGCGTTTAAGCTCATCAATTACTTTGAGCTTTGTTAAAGTTTAATCTAGTTTTGGGCTCCTGGGTGGGTTCAGCGTCCGACTTCGGCTCAGGTCATGATCTCACGGTTCGTGGGTTCGAGCCCCGCGTCGGGCGCTGTGCCGACAGCTCGGAGCCTGGAGCCTGCTTTGGATTCCGTGTCTCCCTCTCTCTCTGCCCCTTCCTTGCTCGTGCTCTGTTTCTCTCTCCTTCAAAAATAAATAAACGTTTAAAAAAAAGCTTAATCTAGTGTTTAAAACTTAGATTTTATAAAGTTTTTTTATAATAAAAATATTCAGGTCCTGGTCTCTCCTCAATATATTCTGATTTCTTTTTTTTTTTTTAAGTTTATTTATTTATTTTGAGAGGAAGGGAGAGAGTGCGCCCGTGAGCAGGGGAGGGGCCGAGAGAGCAGGGAGAGAGAGGATCCTAAGCAGGCCCCACGCTGTCAGCGCAGAGCCCTATGCAAGGTTCCATCTCACGAGCCGTGAGATCATGTCCTGAGCTGAAATCAAGAGTCAGATGCATAAGTGACTGAGCCATCTGGGTGCCCCTCTGATTTCTTTATCGCTGAGAGAAATTAAAGATTTAAATAAAGAAGACTGTTTATGGATTGGAAGATTTGTATTTCGAAGATGCTGATTCCCTTCAAATTGATCTAATGATGTGACACAATCCCATTACAAATCTCAGCACAGGAGCACCTCCCTCCTCTCCCTCTCTCTCGGCCCCTCCCCTGCTTGCTCTCTCTCTCTCTCTCAAAATAAATTAGAAAAACTGAAAAAAAAATATTTAAAAACAAACCAAAGGAATTGATAAGCTAACTCTAATTCTGAAATTAGTGGGGAAATACCAGGGAATTGGAGTCATCAATACGCTTTCAAAAAAGGACAGGGTCGGAGAACTCACACTTCCTGATCGAGATTTACCGGAAACACGTAACCAGTGTAGTGTGGTTTAGTCTTGTAAAGTCCGAGAGGCCAGGGGGTGTGGTCTGGCTGGTTCGCTGCTGTGGCCCCACCGTAGAGAGGGCTCGGGGCACAGCGCACTCTCAAAAACTTGTAGAATGAATGGAGAAGGTTCTTTCTGTCGCTCAAAGGTGAAGACAGCCAGGGAGGACGGGGTTATGGCGGGGCTGAGGCAGGGGAGACTTGGAAGCCGCTGGGATAGTGTTGGGACTGAGCCCAGCTCCCCCACCTGGAGGAGAAGCGGCCGCAGAGAGCCGGTGGCCTCGGAAGCTTCACTGCACATGAGCACACACCATCCTCGTGTGGAAGCGATAGCACCGATCCTGGGTCCCTCTACCAAGGCAGTGGTGCAGGGAGCTTATGTGCTGCCATGGGCCCTGGAAAAGGATGACAGGTGCAGTTTGTACCAGGGCCGGTATGCACCAGGGCCGGTATGGACCACAGGACAGAATGCACCAGGGACAGTATGGACCACAGGACAGAAGGCACCAGGGACAGTATGGACCACAGGACAGAGTGCACCCAGGAAAGTATGCACCAGGGACAGTATGGACCACAGGACAGTATGCACCAGGGACAGTATGCACCAGGGACAGTATGGACCACAGG